TTTTACAGAAAGGATACATTACTATAAGCACACAGGCAAAGTTTCAACAACGCATGATTTTTGAGAAAAAAAATTATTGAATATCAATTATTTTTGCAATATTTATGTCAATTCCTACCGTAAAACTGACGCTATTTTGTATTGTTATTGTCATCGTGAGTAGGGATGTCGATTCTTTCCGAAAAAGATCGATTCGAATCGTAAGCCGATGTATCGATTCACAAAAATCGATTTCTAAAATATCTATATTTTTTCATGTTTGCATTTATAATGTAAATATAAATCCATTTTATAAAAACAAGAAAAATACCATAATAAATAATCTCTTATTGAAATTTGTTTTATTTTAACAGTACCTGTTAGGGCCGATAACACATAAAATAGGTTAGGTTCAACTTATGTCAAAGAACCGAATTGAATGACCCCGACTCCACCTGGTACGAATCTGTCCTACCCCTAGAGTGGTTTTATGGAGCCAAAGGCGCGTAGGGGGAGCAGCCTCAGAGTGCTGTAACAAATCGTAGGCATCGGACGAGCATTATATTTAATTTTTTTTTAATTTTATGAGGTTTTACCACCTCTTACTGATTTTTTTTAAACTGGCTTTAGGGCTCTAGGTTCTAGCCCTTCTGAGCCTCCTCTTACTGACACTAGCCGATGACAAAGAATATATACACTACGCGAAAAGAAACGACACTTAACCATGTGTGCACGTAAAATCACTTGCGGCTATGTCTGGGTGTCTGGATGTGAGCGGGCCTTGAGAGCCGCGCGGGGTGTGGAACCGGCCGTCGCCGACTGCCCTGACTGAGAGCTGCGCTTTATACAAAAATAATGCCTGTTCATTTTTATATAATTATTTTACCTTTATTTAGTTACAATATTTATTTATATGTGTGGCACATTTATATTATATATAATAGTTTTAAAGTATATATTTGTAATTTTATATATTAATATTTGTAAAAATATATATTTATATTTTTTATTAAGGACAACAAACAGTTGTAAAATAAAAATTACAATTCAAATCAAAATGAATAAAAAATGAATATATATACATATATATTAATATGTATGTATGTATTTATCTTATCTATGTAGTTATATACCATTCTGTATTTCTATTTTATGGCTTTAATAAAAGAAAAATATTTTTATCGCCAAACCACACACGTTTTTATAGTTTTCTTGCAATCCAAAGGTTGTCTAGAAGAGATCGCTCTTAGCGATAAGCCCACCAGACCGGATAATATTTATGTAATTTTTTGGCGTACAATTAAGTGTTATCTATCTATCTATGCTTCCCTATGGATTTTCTAAAAAAATTATACATACGGCTACGAATTTTTTCAATTGTTATAAATAATAATAAAAATTATAAATCATCGAAAAAGCCAAAAATATATAAGAGTAACTAATTTTAAAGGGTAGTAGGTAATACTGATTATTGCGTACTGAAATACTGAGTGTTGGTTAATTATTATTTAAGATTATTGTAAAGATATTTAATAAAAGTTGATTTAAAATTGATCGTATCTTTCACTATCTAAATACATATGAGCGTAAGGTCGGCAATGTCTAGACGAAATCGAGCTTTTCTTAGTTTCAAGAGAGAGCGTACTGAAGAAAATTGGTTATCTTTTAAAGCAGCCAGGAATAGGTGTAAGCAGATGGTACGTGCAGCTAAATGCCGATATTTCCATAATTGTATTAATAACTCTTTACCAGCCGTAATGTGGAAATTTCTAAGATCTTTTATTCTTTGCAGCCAGCTACATTGGATTGCGGTCCTTCTCTATCACTCAATGAAATCAACCAACATTTCGCTTCTGTAAAAGCATTGGACCCTACAATTCGCTCCCAAACTATGACATCCATTGCTTCTATGCAAACTCCTAACATTCCTACCGTTAATTTTTCTCCTGTTTCTCACTGACATTAGACATTTTTTTTATAGAATAGGGCGACAAACAAACAGTCCACCTGATGGTAAGTGGTTGCTGTGGCCCATAGACATCTACATTTATCCTCGTTTGCGAAACAAATTGCAGTTGCGTTGTCACCCGTGAGGACTAAGATAGAATGCCTCTTTTTGAGTAAAAAGGGTCTCCGGTTCTCTATACTCACCATACGAAACACAGCAGCAAGCTGCTATTTGACGCTGGTATTCTGTGAGAGCGTGGTCCTTCCCCGGTCGAGCCGACCCATTCGTGCTACAACTATACAACTAATATAGCTGCAGCATGGCTCTACCACGTAAGGACAAGTACATATGGTAGTATTTATACTAGAGCACCTTCTTCCGGCAATTTCCCATATCATCAATTTTTTCCCTTGATTCATGTCAGTACCCTAATCTTTGGAAGAGAGATTTTATAAAGCCTCTCCCAAAAGTTCCTACTCCTAATCTTCCCAATCATTTTCACCCAATATCCATTCTACCCTTTCTTTCCAAAATTTTAGAATCCTGTGTTTACAAGCAAATCTCTATTTTTATTTCAAAACTACTACTAATATTTCAGTCTGGGTTTCGCCCTGGTCATAGTACCACAACTGCTTTAATTAATGTTACTGATAATATTAGACAAGGTATGGAAGAAAAATAGATAACAGTTCTGGTACCAGTTGATTTCTCAAATGCTTTCAACACAGTTGATCATGAAATCCTTGTTTCCATACTATCTCATCTGAATTTTGGTCCTACTGCTTTAGAATGGTTGGTATCTTATCTTCATGGTCGACAGCAGTCAGTCTGTGTGGGGCAAATGTCCTCAGCTTGGGCTGATGTGGATGCTGGTGTGCCGCAAGGCGGTATTCCTTCTCCTATATTTTTTTCAATTTTCATTAACTTTATTACCTCCATCCTCGACTGCTCGTATCATTTGTACACCGATGACCTTCAGCTTTATGTGCAAGCTGAAATTGGGGATATCCATAATGGGATCAAAAAACTTAACGATATATTATCAGCTATCAAAGATTGGTCTACTCGTTATGGAGTTTTGGTCAATCCTTTGAAATGCCAAGCTATACTGGTGTGTAGCTCAAGAATTCTAGCTAAGATTAATCTGGCAGATTTACCTCCTATTTATTACGATAGTATTATAATTCCGTTCAGTAATTCTGTCAAAAATCTTGGCCTACATATCGACAGCACGTTGAATTGGAGAACCCAGGTTTCAGAAGTGAGTCGTAAAACATTTTCTTCCCACAAAATCGAAGATCATGCTTGTCCAGTCGCTCATATTACCCGTAATTGATTATGCAGATGTGTGTTACCCAGATCTGTCCCAAGATCTTCTGAACAAGCTGGAACGCCTTCTTAACAACTGTATAAGATTTATTTTCGGGCTTCGTAAGTATGACCATACTTCGCAATATAGATCTAAGTTAAATTGGCTTACAATCCGCCAGAGGCGCAATTCCAGAATATTGCTTGTTCTTTTTTCCAATTTATATGACCCATCTTCGCCTTCTTATCTTAAGAGTAAATTTCACTATCTCTCCTCATCTCATGATAGAGTCCTACGCTCTTCTTCTAACAACAAAATCTGTATTCCTGTTCATTTCACCGAGTTCTGTGGTAACTCCTTCACAGTTCAGGCTACACGCCTTTGGAATCCTTTTCCGATAACATCAGAAAAGCACCCAATAAAGATGCTTTAAAAAATTAGTCCGTAATCATCTATTGAAGACAACGCATTTTACATGATTCATCCATTTAATATGTATTGCTAAACAGACGCATATATTCATAGGTATTTGTATGTACTAATTATATATGTATTTAAATATGTATATTTGTATGTATATATTTGTATTTACATGCAATATATTTGTATATATGTATGTGTACGTCATATATGTATAGTTTATTTATTAGTAAATTGTATGTATTATGTAGTTAATTATTATTTTGTGTACCGTTATTTTATTTTATATTGCCACACCTACGTCAAATTCTCACCACTCCATGCTTGCTACATATATATTTATCTATGACTCCATGGGTTGACTGGTAGAGAATTCCTCAAGGCATTAAGTCCGCCCTTTGTATTCTTTTGTTTTAAGGAATGCAATAAAGAATAAATAAATAAATAAGTTTACATTATAAAACATATACCTACTATGTATTTTCTTTGGCACAAGTCTATAATATTCCATTTCGGTCCGGTATCAACCCTAGCGTTACACGCTGCGGCCTAATGTCACCGGCGCTTCAACGTACAGAGAGTACGTGAGAGCTGTGCCTTATGCTAAAGCAAAGTAAAGCGGGGTGTTTGACAATCCTCTTACTCCCCGGACAATGTAGAGGTAATAAAACCACATACAATTTGCATACAATTATATTTTTAAATAAAATAAAAAAAATATTTGTCGAGTTTTAAGAAAAAGTTATTTCTATAGGTTTAAATACTGATCCGGGAACCGGGTTTTTGTTACATAGTGAATAGAGTTTTGGCGGGAACTTGACCGGCTGCGGTTTGCTGCTCCTGTATTATTGTTTAAATAACGGTTTGAAGTGGATTTTGACATGTAAAAGTAGTGCGATTTTGTATTAAGTGTCTACGCATGTGAACTATTAGTGGAAACGGAGAAACAAGTGCTCTGATGGTGATGTGATTCTCAAGATAAGGTGTCTGTTTGCATGAGCGCCATCGCCAATCGTCAGCTGTCTGCTAGCTCTAGTTGCTGTCAAAATCTCCCAAGGGCTGCCCAATGTGACACATCAACATATTGTGAAGCAGTGTACTATGCAGGATAATTATACATTGTATCTTCAGGCTCAAAAGGGTTAGAACCCAGAGATATTGGTTTGACTTTTGACTTGACACCTTGACAATTGACAGACACAAATTGCCTTTTTTTAGTGATTTTCATGTGATTTTAGATTATTGTACTTGTGTTTGTTTAATTTGAATGTTTAATTTTAATAGTTAAACATATATAGAAGATAAACCACGTCGTATGTCATTATCATACATTAATGAATAACAATGATTCCTGGCGCTTTTATGTATTCTGTTTATAAAACATTAACCAAATCAAGTCAATCTTTTTCTAATTTAATCGTATTAAGACCACAAAAATTGAAAACAAATGGATGGCGACCATATGGTGTGTGATTTTTGACTTTATATTAATTTAATATTAAAAAAAAAATAATTGTAATCTTTCTGCTTAGCTACGCACAAGCGATTTTTTCGCCGTACCGACATTGTACAAAATGATGATAAGTGGGAAATAACATTAGACCACAGAAGATTAAAAACGCCTAATGGACAAATATTGAAAGTTGGTAATGAGTATTTGGCCCGAGCTATAGCAGCTGAATGGGATGCTCAAAAGGAAATTATTGCTCAACCCACAATGCATTTGGTAAATATCATAGGTCGAAATTTTTATAAATATTAATTTCTTATAACATCATAAAAATCGTACCTCTTTTATAATTTTAGACAGCCTTATGTAATACTGCACTAGACAATCCAGGAAAGTTGACATCTCATGACATTACTAGTTATTTATTGGACTATCTAAGCACAGATACTCTTCTATTTCATTCAGAAGTAAGTTAAAATGTTGACTTAGTTTATATTTTTATACATATAAATAAAATATTAGGGATTAAAGTATAAAATTGTATCTTTTATTGAAAAATTTATGCACCTGTTTCATTTAGAAAACTTATTTTATTTCATCAAAGTATTCAGCAATACAATGTAAAACTGTGGTGGTGGTGAAAGAATATCCACTACCCCATATAGTCCCATGGGTATTGTAAGAGTTGTCAGAGAGAAACTGAAACAGGAGATGGGCAGCACAATCTTCCTGATAATAAATTGAAATTATAAGAAGACTGCAGTTGCCAACCTACCTGCCAGGCATGGCAACTGTGGCAAAATATGCGGCCTAAGTTGAGCAGTGGACTTTTATAGGCTATAGTGGGTGGAATTGAAAATGGATTCAGAAATGTATAGATAATGACCCTTATTATCCATACATTTCTGCCATTTAATTTATGCCTTTGACAATTATGGGACTCTGTCAAATGTGTGAAAATCTGTGAAAAAATGGTAATGAGTAAATATTGTGTTGTATTGTGGGTAAGCTAATGTCAAACCATGACTAATTCCTCGATTGTTTCATCTGCTTCCACTATTACTTTTAATTCATCTTTATTTAACTAAGTGTCTCATCTTCCTTATGGTTCATTAATCAAGCCTAAGTTTCTACTTTGAAAGTAATTAATTAAAAAACACAGTGTGCTCCTTAGTCATATCCTCTCCAAACACAGCATAGATACCGGGTGTTTGTGAAACGCTCCTGAAAATGAAGACAGACGATAGTACTAACTATACCTTTGATCGTGGGTGAGAAATAAAATTGATCCTGAGGAAAAAAAATATCTTTTCACAACATTTTATTAGCTTTATTCATGTCCCATCATGTTGGTGCAGCTAAATGAAACAATAATTTCATTAAAAAAATCATAAAAATACTTAAACATTAAACAAGCAGTGAAATATAAAATAAATAAATCATAAAATCAGCTGACAATGGAGTGAATATTCTCGGGGACGCCGAACTCTTATGTATCTAGCTTGGTGCGAAACAATGCCTACTGACTCTACCCTTCCCTTTCACACACGCGCTACTGACGCCCGGCCGGCTCGTGTCGCCTCACGCTATGGAATTTACACATGTCAGCTTGGCCAACATGTGGGGAATTCCCAAAACTGCAGGGAATTTAAAGTTGGTTGGGAATTTTATTTATTTTATTTTACGAGGAAAATATGGGAATTTTGAAAATCGATAGCCAGGGCCAAGTCAGAACCTTTTTTCAAGAAATCTAAATACTTATCTTAACATGTTGTTAGGTTACTCATGAATATCGAATGACTCCCTTTTTTTAATTATCTTCATTGCACCACATCTAATTTTCGGATTTATTTCGGCAACTTTTTTGTATCATTTAATGCTTTTCATTTCCTTATCTTTTAATTTTAAAAAAAATGTTAGTTAAAAAGTAAATCTTATAAAATTAGTTCAAAATTGATTCATTTCTTAAAATAAAATTGAGGGGAATTTGTGGGGAATCTGTTGAAATTTTGTCCTTAAATTGGGAAATTTATACTAATTTTACGTGGTAGAGCCATGCTGCAGCTATATTAGTAGTATAGTTGTAGCATGAATGGCTCGACTCGACCGTGGAAGGACCACGCTCTCACAGAATACCAGCGTAAAATAGCAGTTTAACACTGCTATGTTTCGTATGGTGAGTGTAGAGAACCGGAGACCCTTTTTAATGGAAAAGAGGCATTCCATCTTAGTCCTCACGGGTGACAACGCATCTGCATTTTGATTGGATAAATGTTGATGTCTATGGGCCACAGCAACCACTTATCATCAGGTGGACTGTGTGCTCGTTCGTCACCCGATCCTATAAAAAAAAATTGACATGAATTTTCAGGGAATTTGACAAATTGGTGTTGGCAACGCTGCCATGTTGCACCGAAATTTAGTTTGCCGGCGACATAAGAATTAGAGGCGACAATCACTATAAAACTTGCAAGTAATTTTTAATAATTTTGACGTACCTCTTTTTAAATTCAAAGTATTGGTCGGATTAAATACAGAAAGTCAATTAAAATAAAGTAAAAGTATTATTTTCACTTTAATTAGTTCTGATAGATTAATTAACTGTCGATCATAATTGCAATTGATTTTAACTATTAAATTATTCAGTACCATTTCATTTCTATTTTCTTTTGAAAATCAAAGATAACGACAAAATAGTGTTTATAATTATGTAAGTGAGTACTGAGTACCCAATTGGGTACGTTTATTAATTTCAATATAATTTTTATAGTAAAGAACTGCTTGTTGCGTCAGGGTACAATTGATTGTGTAATTGTATTAAAAATGACAACCATAACTCCTAAATTCCATATGAAGACTAGTAGTAGGGATAACTAAACTTATAAATAAAATAAACGTTGGCAATGTTGTAAGGGTTTTACGGTCTGTGGTAGTGCTCAGTGCTTCAAAGACGAATGTCTCGTGCGCATTTGTTTTGGCGGGATTGATTATTAGTTTTAGTTTTTGAGACAGTTCCGTGTTGAAATCACGTGCGCGTGAGTGACAGTTCAATCGTTTTGTTTATTACATTCTTGTTGTTACGTTTGTTACGTGCCGTGTAGTGGCGGTTAAGAATATCCACTTTTTTTTTTTTTTTTTTTTTTATAGAATAGGGGGCAAACGAGCATGCGGCTCACCTGATGTTAAGTGACTACCGCCGCCCATGAACAACCGCAACACCAGGGGAATTGCAGATGCGTTGCCGGCCTTTTAGAAAGGTGTAAGCTCTTTTCTTGAAGGTTCCTAAGTCGTATCGGTTCGGAAAATTCGCTGGTGGTAATTGATTCCACAAAGAAGTTGTGCGAGGGAGAAAACTTCTTCTAAATCGCACAGTGGTGGACCGCCAATCATCCAGATGGTATGGATGGTAACGCGAGTTTTGTCGCGACGTGCGATGGTGAAATTGAGCGGCTGGAATTAGTCCGAACAATTCCTCAGAGCACTCCCCGTGATAGATGCGATAAAATACGCAAAGAGATGCAACATCTCTACGCAGTGCCAGTGTATCGAGCCGATCGGAAAGAACTCGGTCGTCGACGATTCGAATCGCTCTGCGCTGGATGCGGTCAAGTGGAAGGAGCTGGCACTGGGGTGCCCCGGCCCAGAGATGAGAACAGTATTCCATGTGGGGCCGAACTTGCGCTTTGTAAAGTTGCAAGCGATGTGCCGGCATGAAATACTGTCTCGCTCTGCTGAGCACGCCAAGCTTTTTAGAGGCCAATTTGGCCTTCCCTTCCAAGTGACCACGAAACTGCACGCTATTCGATATGTCGACGCCAAGGATTCCGATACTGGCTGAGGCAGCAAGGGGAGTGCCTTGGAACTGAGGAGATACGACAAAGGGGTTCTTTTTAGCGGTAAACGCGCAAACTTGTGTCTTCTGGGGATTGAACTGGACTAGATTTAGTCGGCCCCAATCCGAGACTTTGTTAAGCAAAGACTCGACTTCAGACACAAGTTTGTCCCGGTACTCGGCGACGTTTTCCCGAGAAATATTGGCACGGCCGGTATATAAGGCATCCCCAGTGCTGTCGTCTGCATAGCAATGAATGTTACCAGTTAGGAACATATCATTGATATGCAGGAGAAACAGCGTTGGTGATAGCACGCAGCCTTGTGGAACACCAGCGTTGATAGGCTTGTAATCAGAGCATGCACCGTCTACTACGACCTTGATGCTCCGATCAGCAAGGAAACTGGTGATCCATTTGCACAATTTCTCGGGAAGCCCATAGGAAGGAAGCTTCGAAAGAAGCGCCTTGTGCCAGACCCGATCGAAGGCCTTCGCTATGTCCAAACTAACGGCCAATGCCTCCCCCTTGGACTCTACTGCCTCCGCCCATCTATGAGTTAAGTAAACTAAAAGATCACCTGCTGATCGACCCCGACGAAAACCGTACTGACGGTCACTGATCAGCTGGTGATCCTCAAGGTACCTCATGAGCTGGCAGTTTATAATGGATTCCATTATTTTGGAGAACAAGGAGGTGATGGCGATAGGCCTGTAGTTGGACGGGTCTGAGCGGTCGCCTTTTTTAGGGATCGGGTGGACCAAAGCTGTCTTCCATGAATTCGGGACTACGCCTTGGGAGTAGGAGTACCGGAAAAGACGCGTTAAAACCGGTGCCAACTCCGGAGCACACGTCTTCAGCACAATGGGAGGGACTCCATCGGGCCCACTCGACTTGCTGACGTCCAGGGAGAAGAGTGCTTTGCGAACCGAGCGCTGTGTAAATCGCACATCCGGCATGGAGCACTCACATCGCGGGATGGTCGGCGGTGTGTTCCCCCCGTCATCTAGAGTCGAGTTGGACGCAAAAAGAGAGCACAACAGATCGGCTTTCTCTTTTGCGGCATGGGCCAGTGAGTCGTCCTCTCTGTGCAGAGATGGGAGGGATGGCTGACAGAAGTTCCCTTGGACAGCCTTGGCGAGAGACCAGAATGCACGGGTTCCCGAAGGAAGGCGAACTAGCTTCTCGCCAATTCTGCCGATGTGCTCAGACCTTGCCTTGGCAATGACGCTTTTGAAGGACCTGGAGGCGGAATTATACTTCTTTTTAAGTGCGCTGGTGTTTAAATCCCGAGACGTTGATGCGTCAGCCCAGGCCCGGTAGCACTCCTGCTTATAGCGTGATGCTATTTTACAGGAGCGACCAAACCATGGCTGGGATCTGCCTCCGATGGGCACCACAGAGGATGGAATAAAAAGTTCCATACCCTGAAGTACCACATCAGCAACAGAATCGGCAACAACGCTGGGATCTTCCGGCGAGAAGCAAACCCGCCCCCAAGGGTAGGATGCAAAAAAAGACCGCATCCCGTCCCAATCAGCTGACCTATAGTGCCAAACACGGCGGCAAGCTGTAGATCGCAACTGCGATTGGAGCGTGAGTGGCACTGTGCTCCGGATCAGACAATGGTCCGAAGA